CCGCCAACTTACAACCGCACCAACAAGATCACCGTCGCCTTCCAGAACCTCATCTACGCGTACGGCGTCGCCTCCTACCGAGAGGTCAACCCTGGTGAGACACGGACACAGCCTACCTTACACTGGATGTAATGTGGCTTAGCTTAGTCAGGATTTTATTTTAATTAGTCAAGATCTGCATAACTTAGTCAGGACTTACTAACTTAGCTCATACATTGCGTAACTTAGCCTAGCTTAGGCAAAACCTAGCCTCCCCTAATGTATCCTAGCTGTTACTATCGAATAAATTCTTTATTAAACAGATAAAATCGATAGAGTAAACTAGGTTTTCGATGATGATGATATTTTTTCATTAGGAAATGAAAAAGAAGTAATATAATGTTTCAGCTCCGTACACAATAATAACATTCCCGTTCCTGTTCGCGGTGATGTTCGGTGACCTCGGGCACGGCGCCATCATGGCCGCCTTCGGATTCTGGATGTGCTACAAGGAGAAGCCGCTGCAGGCCAAGAAGATTGACAGCGAGGTACACACACACACACTTTATTTGTTCTTCATAGACAAATAAGCCACCGTGTATTTTAATCACTTAAAACGTCGAAAAATTGTCTTTGTTGGTTTTACTCTTTCCTTTGATTCTTTGAAAAATATTACTATTTAAGTTATACTCAAACGAACCTTATTATTGTATTTTTAAGGAGTTTGAGACACCAAAAATCATAAAATTACTTTGAGTACGCCGTTTAATGCGACCAACTCGTACAATGTTTCGAGCCTTTAACATATTTGAATACAACATTATCTCTTCATCTATATATATTAATAAAATTGGTGTGTCTGTATGTAATACCGAGAAAAAAATATATATTTTGTACACATATTTGCGTTGTTGATAAGTTAAAACTATTTTTATAATATATTTGTCTGTCTGTCTGATTGATGTATATAATTTCAGATCTGGAACATATTCTTCGGTGGCCGCTACATCATCCTACTTATGGGTCTGTTCTCAATGTACACCGGTCTGATTTACAACGATATATTCTCCAAGAGTTTGAACATCTTCGGCTCCTCGTGGCGCAACAATTACAAGAACGATACTCTGGTCGCCAACAAGCTGCTGCAGCTCAACCCTGACTCCGAAGACTATATACAGACCCCGTATCCATTTGGCATTGATCCAGTTTGGCAGGTTAGTTGTTTAACTACGGATTAACCAAGTCTAGCTCTTAAATATAGATTTTTTAAGTTACATGCTTACTTAATCCTAGCTGTCGCTTGCGACTTTGTCTGCGAGGAATTAAAAAATAAACTTAATAAGTAGCCTATGTGTTCTTCCAAACTATGTTCTACATCTATGCCAAATTTCAATGACATCCTTGCAGCCGTTCTGGAGATACCTTCTATCTACAGAATCATCAAACATTGCCATTTATATAATTAGTAAGAAGTAAGATATAATCAAAAGATTTTTATTTTTTTAGCTCGCTGAATCCAACAAGATCATCTTCATGAACGCGTACAAGATGAAGATATCCATTATTATCGGAGTCTTCCACATGCTGTTCGGTGTCTGCATGTCGCTCTGGAATCATATGTTAGTATTCCTGTTCAAATATATATCCCACTTTCGCTTTTCTTTTATTAATTCGATATTTTACCTTGCAGTTACTTCAAGCGTCGCATCAGCATCTACGTGGAGTTCATCCCGCAGATCATCTTCCTCACCGTGCTCTTCTTCTACATGGTGCTGCTCATGTTCATCAAGTGGACCACGTACGGACCCACGCCTGGACATTTCGGCGACCCCAGTATGTACACACTACTGCCCACTTGCCCACTAATCTGTGCACTTGCCCACTAAACTGCCCACTTGACCACTATATTAATAGAGGTAGATATAGTAAAGGTATCGTGTGTCAGGTGTGATCAAGACGTCAGGATACTGCGCGCCGTCAGTGCTGATCACGTTCATCAACATGATGCTGTTCAAGCGCGACGAGAACGCGCGCCCGCAGTGCGACGAGGTCATGTTCGCCGGACAGATCGGCCTGCAGAAGGTACATATACATATTTTTATAGTCACAATAGTCAACACTTGGTAAAATACCTCGTATTTACTCTTGTACAAAACCTTTCCATACATAGCAAATAACTATTCTCCCAGTTATGTTGTCTCTTCGCTTGTCAGACAATGAGGCGGTTTAATACCAAATTTATTTGCTTTTTAAAAATTTTTTTTTTTTAGTAATAATTAAAAAATATAAGTAAACAGTAGACAGTTGATTGTTTGTGTTGTGTTATAGTTCTTCGTGATCGTGGCGCTGCTGTGTGTGCCGGTGATGTTGTTCGGCAAGCCGTACTTCATCATGCAGGAGCAGAAGAAACGCGCTGTATGTATTTCATTATTTATTACGTAATCAAATATAAAACCGTAGATGTATACAAGTCAAAGATAATTGATGAAAGGGGAGGTTATAGAATGTCAAGTATGTATGTATGTGTGTACAGCAAAGTCAGCCGCTGCAGAACACTGAGGGTGCAGAGAACGGTGCGGCGGGCGGCGCGGTGCAGCCTGCAAACCCTCACGACAATGAGGAGATCTCCGAGGTCTTCATACACCAGGTGAGCCATACAAATCCATACAAAATATTCAAACTGACAAAAAGTATAGATTTATTAATTTTGACGATATGTTTTTGTACGTGTGTGTGTGTGTGCAGGCTATCCACACAATCGAGTACGTGCTGGGCAGCGTGTCTCACACAGCCTCCTACCTGCGTCTGTGGGCGCTGTCCCTGGCGCACGCGCAGCTCGCTGAGGTCGCTTGGAACATGCTGCTGCGTAAAGGTAGACCTACTGTTTCATCTTCTTTGACAAAACATTATATTCAAAAAGTCAGGTAGAGTTAACACATAACGATGAAATCGTAACCGACAGAGGTGAGCAGTAAGTTTTGATGTTGATACATTTGTGTTGTAGGTCTGAAGTCGTTCGGGTTCGAGGGCGGCATCTTCCTGTACGTGATGTTCGCCTGCTGGGCCGGCATCTCCGTCTCCATCATGGTGCTGATGGAGGGCCTCTCCGCCTTCCTGCACACGCTGCGTCTACACTGGTACACAACGATACATAACTCATACATGTTATTTGTTTCAATCGCTTTGACGGCTCGGGGTCATCTACTACGCCAAACATTGTGTTTTACGTAATGACATGTGCGATGTTCCGAGCGACTAAGATATTTGAATAGCTCTATAGTGGCAGTAATGATATTGATTAAAAATGATTATTTTATCACACATCTTGGAATTCAAGGTCATGGGCGCAGTACCCTCTTTCTCATCCTGCTGTGTCGCAACACACCTAACATTGTGTTCTGCGCACTGGCTACTACTTGACTGAAATTTAAGATTTGCCAACATTCTTATAACTATAATTGTTACGGATAAAAAAAACACAATGTCTATGATATGTTATAACTCTCTCTCATTACATTTTGTCACATTAGATTGAGCGGGTAATTTTATAACCTAAAATATTATATTTAAAGATTTCTAATTAATCTTTTATTGATAACTCAAAATTAGTAACAATAATACTGTTATAAATATTCTATAAATGTTACTATTCGCTTCTGATGTAGACCATAATGGAACTGAAACTAAGAGTGAGTATCGCGTTACAGGATCGAGTTCCAGAGCAAGTTCTACGCGGGCGAGGGTTACCTCTTCCAGCCGTTCTCCTTCGAGGTGTTGCTCGACTCCTCGGGTCAGGCTGACGAGTAGACCAGTACTGTCCGCGCTCTCACAACTTATAGTGGAATTACTAATGTACCTACATCTTTACTACAAATAAAATAAATTTACTTCATGTTCAGTAGAAATGTTCATTAAAATGCTTAAAAAAGGTTTTATCATAGTTTTTCTCAGAATTATTAGATCGTAGATTTGGCAAATGTTATTGTGTCATCCTTGTTATTCTCTTAGTAAAGATAGAGACAAAAATATATGTCAATCATACTAATGTTCAATAAATATAGCATAGCTTCCATTATAAGGCAACGTGTTTCTGAGGATTTTAATATTTATTTATATAAATGCCAATGTTTTTTTTATCTCTGCAACAATTGTCTATGTTTTTAGAAATTTTTTATTAAAAAAATTATTCATGGACAAGTTTTGATTAGCGATTTTTTTAACCTTTGTAGATGAGATGTTTTATATTGTGTATTGTTTTTTTTTAAGACAAAATGTACTTAAAACTTTTTATAAATTCACATCCAAGGCTCTCTTTTAATTTTTAAAATGCAATCAGCACAATATAGAGGCGGTCATTCCAGTAGTTTTTGAAATATGTTTTATATAATGAATGTGTACACGAGCGTAGCGCAGACTTCTGCTTACTCAATAAATGATGTGTTTAATCCATATTCTTGTTTTATTTTGTACCATTTGTTTGTATCTCATACAAGTTATTGTTAATAATTAAAAAATACTGATGTTAGTATAGTTCAACAAACATGTTTTTGATAAATACATAGAAAATATATTTTTACAGTTTGCAAACACAAAGGAACGTAAATTTAGTGCTATTATTAACTAAATAACAGTAGTAGTAATAAGGAAAAAGTGTTAAAATACCTAGATTTGGCTCACGAGGTTACCGCCATGTGGCGTATGAAATCGACTACCATTATTCCGATAGTCGTATCGGTAAATGGACTGATAGCGAAGAGCTTCGACCAACATCTCAAGAAGCTCTCGCTAAACAGTTGGATTAAGGGCCCGATACAAAAGGCAGTTATCCTAGAAACCTCGCGCATCGTGAGAAGGTTCCTGTCTCTGCAGCCCTCACCACTGGTTGTTTGAGTCATGGGATTCCGCAGTCGGTGGTGTTCTCTTTTTAATATAATACTTTTTGTATATTTTTATTTTTTTTGGATATGAAATGTATTATATTAGAAATGTGATAAATAAATGTATATGTGGTAATAAAACGGGTAAAATAATTTTAACAATAACAAAAAGTTTCATTAAAAATGACATGAAGTATGTGGATATTGTATATAAGTTGTTCAGTTTGTGTTCAGTCGTACTCAGCTCCGATGGTGATGCTGAGGTCTCCGGGCAGCACGCGTGTCATGTGGTACCACCGGTTTGTGTCCACCACCACTGTTGTAACAAACATACAGGGTTAACAAAAAATTATATAATACTGACAGATGACGAAAGTTACAAGTAATAGGTAAACATAACCGTGAACTAATATAATAGGTGTAAGGTTAAGCACAAGTTATTTTTCTTTCGCTTTTCACGATACGTGCCTCTCCTTTTCTTAGTCCTCTTACGAAGCTATAAAATAGCGCGAATATTTGCGACAAACGCCTTCGTCTCGTCATCGTCAATTATGTCGAAATTAGTATGAGATTTTTATGTCTTAAATTAGTGTTCGTGCTGTGTGCACAACAATGAACTATTGCAATAGGTAGAGTACAAACATATCTCCCCGGGGTGCACGGTGAGTGCGAGCGCGCGGCACGTGTAGAGGCACTCCGGCGGCGGCGCGAGCTGCCAGCGCTTGTGCCCGCGCACCTGCGCCTGCCACGACACGCGCCGCACTGAGTCCACCTGGATACAAATTTTCCGCCACACAACTTTTTAATGTAAATTACAAGCTATGTATTATACGATATTTATACCAATAAATTTGTAAGTCAAGGTCACATGTATCACATCGGTCATTTTTATCTTAAACCTTTTTTGATTTCTTTTTTTTTTATAAGAGAAGGGAGCAAACGAGCAGCGGGAACACCGAGGTGTTTATTGACGGCCATGGACTTCAGCAATACCAGAGGAAAAGCAGATGCGTTGCAGGCCTTTGAGATGGTGACTCGGTTCGGCTCACAGGAGACCCGGCAGAGAAATACAATGATGGGTTCTCAATTTGAATCCCCTGCATTTCGTATGATAGCTGGGATTTCACCGAATTAAACTATGCAGTTAAATTAAACACAAAACTTTTTGGAATCTGTTTAAAATCTTACGTGCATATGAGCTCCTTGTCCGGGTCCACCCATGAATATCCAGTCAATAGTATCGCTCTCTGAAGTTCGCGGCAGGAAGTAGGGCCGGTCGTAGTACTGCCTTAGCCGGCGGCTCTCCTCGTCGTAGCAGGTGCTCCAGCCCACGTACCACGGCTCGCCCGACAGGTTGGCGCGCGCCGCAT